AATATATAGGTAGTTAGGGCAGTCAGAATTCAAGCCCAGGCACTCTAATTCAAAAGTGCTTGCTTTTAGTCACTAGTTATATGCTTCCTCTAAAATCATGACCTTATATATTCCCAGTAAGTGATTTCAGATATTTTCTTTAGATGTAAGCAGAAGTTTTAAATTTATATATATTCTGGGTGGTTTCCCACAATGCATCCGCTGAGCAATTACTAAGAGCCTTCTACATATTGGGCAGAGGAAAAGAGAGAGAAATGAATTAAACAATGAACCTCTCTTAAACATTTCATAGTTATGTGACAAGGGAAAAACACGTGAATAGATAATGACAACCGCAAATAGATAATGACAAAATAGTATAACTCTTTCATTCAAGAAAAAGCATCTCTTTTATTCATTATCAATGATCTCATGCTATAGAAGTAAAATACCTAAATACCCAAATGTAGTACCTGAAATGCTACAATACAACCACATAATATGTTGAGAGGCATAGAAAAGAAGTATCTTAGGGCATTAACTGATGGAGGAAGAGGAAAGGGGAGGTCACTGAAGGGTTTGAAGAAAAGTAAGAATAATGTGTGGAGTTTCATTTTTTGGAAATGAATTTCTGGCAAGCTCGGAGGAAAAAAAGCCTAAGGCCATGAATTTGTTAGATAACAGAGTATAGGAATGAAGAAAGGGTTGAATTAGGCAATGACGATGGAAAGCGATTGGAAAACAGGGTGAAATTTGAAGGAGGATTAGAAAGCATTACTATGTTCACAGACCCTGGAGAAGCCATTGGTCTCTCCTTCTCACCCATCCCATGAGCATCCGTCAAGGAATAATAGCAAAATAGTGAGGAGTTAGAATTAATGGCTATGCAAATACCAAGTAGAAAAAAAGCAGAACACAGTATTTGGAGTTTGCATCCTAGTGCTCTAATAAGGAGTTTGGGCAGTCATCTGGAGGAACTAGAGTCCAGACCAAGTGTTTAAAGTATATATGGTAATAATAAATAAATAAATGTATAATTAGATCACACTAGAAAGTAACACTGGTAGAAACACAGCAGCTAGACTGGAGTCAGGAGAAATCAGAGGTACAGAAAGCAGCACTGTTGTGGATTGAAAGGAAATTTTTAATTTTCATCTCACAAAGAGACTGAATTTACCTAAACTTTATTTCTTCATGGAATAAATGAGTTTTATGAGTTGAACTGACACCAATAACTATAGTTAAAAGGTTTCCAAAAAGGAAACCTTAGTATCTTATTTATCCTAAAATGTTATTATTCAGTTTGTTAACTGACAATCAGTAAGGTTAAATAACTTGTTCAGGGTCATCCAATAAATGATAAGAGCAGAATTTGAATCAAGACATTGTAATGCAGTTCCTGAACTTATGGTCACTGTTTAGTGACTCAGTAATGCATGTTTAGTAAATAGACCTTCAGAAATATTTACTACTTGGTGATTCAGAGCACCCACAGACTCTGGAACCAGACTGCATGAGTTCAAGTCCACATTGTATCACTTAATTGCTATTGGAAGCCATTCAGTTTCTTCCTCAAAATGTATCTGTTTCTCTATCAGTAAGTGGGGACAGTGTTTGCCTCCTAGGGCATTTCTAAGGACTAAATGAGTAAATGCTGAACAGAGATTTAGAAAAGTATCTGGAACGTATTACACATTCCATAATGGAAAGTACTGACAATACTGAAAAATGGTAGATACATTGCATAGGCTAATTGAGATCTTATTAGACAAAATAATGGCCCCGAAAAAATGTCTCCATGCCCAGAACTCATTGTGGCAATAAATTACCTCACTATGGTAAAAGTGAGCTTGCAGATATGATTCAAGTTAAGGACTTGAGATGAAGAAATTGTATTAGATTACCTACATAGACCTAACCTAATCAGTTTATTAAAAGACTACTTAGCAAGGGAAACAATGGAAGAAGTAAAGTAAATCAGTAGGATGAAAGGATTTCAATCCACCACTGTTGGCTTTGAAGGAGAAAAGAAGTTGCAGCCCAAGGTAGAGGGCATCTAAAAGCCAGGAATATCCCTCAGGTGACATGCAGGAAAGAACCAGGAGACTCAGAACTATCAAGCACGGGACTAAATTCTGTCAACAACCTGAACAGGAAAATTATACATAATTATATATACATATAATATATATATATACACTACTGAATTGTAAGATGACACATTTGTATTGTTTTGAGATGCTAACTTTGTGGTAATTTGTTACAGAGGCAGTAGTAAATGAAAGTAAGGTCTATGTTTAACTTTTTCTTAAAAGACTCAAATATATTGATCTAAGAACTATGCAATATGCTAAAATAAATTTAACTTCTTAAAGTCAGCAATTTTAAACTATGTTAGGGGCATAAATCAATGCCGCCTTTACATTTCTGTTGTTAAATCCCTTACTACCTAAAAAGAAACTGAAAGCCTAAAAGAAAATATCATAAGTAATATGCTATTTTATTTTTTCTCATCTTTATATTGCCAGGTAAAGAAATATTCTGGTTTCAGTTTTCCTTTAGTTTCTCAAATTAATGGACTAATTAGGTAAACTTTTGCTTTTTTACTAATTTTTAAAAAGATTTATATATGTATACAAAAACTGGGTTACAGGCCAGAGACGAGGGGTAAGAGAATTCACCAGAGACAGTGGATAAAAGAACAGGTGGATTAACTAAAATACACTGCTAAGGGGAGCAGCAGACAGACAGAAGAGGTCTGCTGCACCATGTGGGTCAGCTCCCTGGCTGGGGAATCAAACTAGTGCTACACTGGCTGCAGACAGCTTTGTAGTATTGCGCTTTAACCCTTTGTGCCACCAGGGATGGCCTTTTACTAATATTTTATTAATCTTCCTTAACATGCCAGAAAGAACACATAAATTCTAGGTTTACACAAATTAACATTTTGAATTTAAAGAGGTTGAGGCACTTAATGACAAAATATATTGTCTTGGTGATTATCTATTTTTTTCACTGATTCTGAATTGAAACCCTGTAATTCCATGAGAGTAAGGGCCATGTTTGGGTTATTTACCTTTCTATCAGTATTGCCCAGTAACACATCTAACCACCAGAAGGCTTTTGTTAAATGAGTAGTAAGTATATTTTTAAAGCTAGTATAAAAAACTGGAAACAAATCTTTCTTGAAACCTCAGTTTACTAGCTTACTGGAATACTAATGTTTATTGTATGAAGAGATTAAGCAATATTAGTGGAACTTATTTCAAAAGAAATCTTAAATGTTCTACATGTTTTGCATTCCGATCAGATTCATTAAACATAATTCAAATTTGGTATCTCTGTTATTAAACATCATGTTCACATCACACAGAAGATGCCATGAACTGAAGCTTGCTTGTGGAAATGTCCTGTATTTTGGCCTTCTTTTGCTCCTTTTTTCTCTCTTTCTTAAGAATTAAATGAAGCACAGTATATCTGAAGGTCCACCTGAGAGATGTAATATGACTGCCTTCCTTCACCCCTGCTAAATGAAAGACTTGTGCTTCCTACCCTGGAAGGTAGTCTAGGGTACCATCCAACAGAAATAAAATGCAAACCATAGATGCATTTATAAATTTTCCAAAATACCCTCATTTGAACGTTATCAATGTAAGATGATTCTTTTCATGCTGTATTTTCGAAATCCGTTTTACACTTAACACAGATTTCAATCTGTCCTATGTGCATGTCAAGATTCTAGTGGGTATTGTGTTGGACAACTTCTAACTGCAGAAAATTCTCCCCTCCTGAACCTAAGTGAATGACATACTCCATCAACTTATAGCTCCTCCATCCCACTTGTACTGTCGGTTCCAGTGGTGGAACCACTGGCATAAACCATCGCATCCTCCTTAAGTCTGTTTCCTCCAGATCTCAATGTGTGGAGGACAAAATACCAGGCATGAAGATCTTACATTGTTTATTTGTATTGTAAAAAAGAATTTGAACAGTAGTAGAGTCTATCAATAAATGATTTTATTTTGTTCATGTTTCAGATTTTTAATAACCAACCAACCAAAAAAAAAAAGGTTTTCTGGTAATCCTATTTTTACAGGAAGAGTTCTAGAAAGTCCAACAGTGCTTTTATGGGGTTGATTTCTCCTTTGGCGGGGTTGGGAGCTGAGGCGGGCTATGAGTCGAGAGATAAAGTTTCTAATGCCTACTCCATACGTGAAGCTTTAAATACCTAGCTCATTCAACTGATTTACTTGACCCTTGACAAACCCATCAGACCTTTTGCCATCCAAACTACAGAACAAAAAGGCAGGGGCAACTATCAGCACCAGCTAAACCTTTTCTTTTTCCTTGCCAAAAAATAGCTTCTCTGGGACGCAGACCCTAGAAATCCTGACGAAATCCTGACTCCATTTCCCGGGGTGGAGGTGTTAGGCTGTCCGAGGTCTAAAAGCTCAAGAGTGATTCTGACCCACCCTGCGGGCTCAGGGCTCCAGACTCAAGGCTCAGATGGGTGTCAGTGTGTCCCGCCGCTCGGCAGGGCCTCCGAGGCCGCGCTATTGCAGAGCGGACGGTTGACCAGAAAGCAGCGGGCTCGGCCCCTCCGGGTCACACGAATGCTGCAGCCCAGGAGCTGGATGCTGCCCCAACCTACGGGAGGGCACCTTTTCCTACTCGGCCCTCCTGCGGTGGCCCCCAGCTCAGGGCAAAGCAGCGCCGGAGGTGTTGAGGCGCCCCGCCACCACTCGGCGGCGCCTGCCTGCGGCCCACTACAGCGCCCGCGGGCCAGGAACAACCTGCACGCGAAGGGCAGGGGCTTCCCTACCGCCCCTTGACACCAAGGCCGCAGTGCGGACGGCCTCCGACCTGGGGCTGACCGGCTCGCGACTCTCCTGCCAATCAGACGCGGCTTGCAGCCGAGCGGCCAGCCGGCCAATCACACGCGCAGATGTCCTCTTCGGCTCTTCGGCTCTTCGGCTCTTCGGCTCTTCGGTGCACCGGCTGTTCGGCTTGTCGGCGTTCCGGAGGCCGGGTTCCCCCTGGCCTTCCGCTGCGAGCTCCTGCGTAGCTCTGGTAGATTTCATTTCCTTTTTTTTTTTCCCAGCTACTTCCGGGTCCTGCGTTGCTCCGGAAGCCCGCGAGTTCCGGAAGCCTGGAAGCCCAGGTTCTGCTAGGAAAAGCCAAGCTTCCCGGGAGTGTTTCGGGAAAAGTTACGTGGAGCGTGGTCGATTCGCAGACTCCTAAGGTCAGTGTCTGCCTGAGAGCCAGAGTCTGTCTGAGGTTTACTTCCAGCCGGGCGGGCGTGGAATTTCCCCGACCTTGTGGTCGTCTCCTTTGGCTTAAGTTTACGTGTTCGGTGCCTTCTTGTCTTTCTGGAAAAGGTACATCAGAGTCTCCTGATTTGGGAACAACAATGAAGCAGACATAATCTCTTTTAAAAATAGTCTTAGAGCGGCACTATTGCAAAGAAAAGACGGAAATAGCCAAACTTGAGCTCTGTTACACTTCACGAAGTGACTTGAGAGGCTGACTTTGAAGTCTTTTCCTCTCTCCACGGTGATGCGAGTACCTCTGTGAGTGGTTTATTAAAAAGTCATGTGCCATCCAGACTTTACTTAATACCTGATGGCTCTTGTAAAGTGGGTGCCGAAAAATTCAGTATGCTTAGTTTCCAGCCCTCTGAAAGTTTATGAACTTAGTAGCAATTATGGTTTTCTAGAGAAGAAAGCTTTTTATTTTTCCTTATAAAATGGCGTCGAATTTGTTATATTTAACATTGATTTCTGAAAGAATGTGGCAGTCACTAACATTTTCTTCTGGGTCCTGGAATTGTTTCTTGGTTCTTTTGGCGCGTTGCAGAAAGAGAGCCTTTAGTGAAAGACTTCACAGTATCAGAAATGGAAAGGTCTACCATATGTGCTATGATACCTCGAACATTTTGTACCTTGACATTTTCAAGCAATAACAGTGAGACTAAGGCTTCAACCACACTAGTTTGTAGTCTAAACAACATTCCCTAATGTGTTGCGTTTAGTTGAACCTGAACATAATAAACTTGAAATGGCTGACTTTTTGTTTTTCTTTTTTACTTTGTTTTCACTCAGATCTAACTCATGTCATCAGTTACTTCTATGCAAAAAGATTAGGGTTGAGTTGACCTTGAGTCAGATGGGATTTGAAAGAAGAGAGATAGTGGATTTTTCAAATCAAAAGGAGAAGCCTTAAAAAAAAAAAAAAGAAAGAAAGAAAAAGAAAAGCAATGAAAATAGAAATAACAGAACATAGTTGAGAGACTGTTAGGCAAAATCAAGAGATTTGAGTTCTAGTCTTAACATGGTTTTCCATTGACTAACTACTTCTTGGCCTTATACCCTTCAATTTTAGAAATTAGATGTTGCCCTGGGCCTGTGGTTTTAAAATTGTTCAGAGAACACTCCTGTAGAAATTTCCTGGAGCCATGCAAGCCGATCCTCAGCAGTATTTTACAATTGCAGCTATTTTATACATTCTACTTGAAAAGTGGGAAAATTAAATTCACATCTTAAAATTATATGATCTATTTTCTTCTAGTAATAAAATTGTGTTATTTATTCATCATGCATTGATTTTTTTTTAATAATAAAGGAAATAAAGCTTGTGCCATAAGCACACTCTACTTCTGAACAGAAGACCTGCTCCAAATCACTCATTCCTTTTTCTCCCTCCTCCATTAATTATGGTGGTTGAAAAATATAAAAGCAAATTGGATGTTTCTTTAGCTCTTTCCTGTGAAATAGCAGCATTACATGTTCCTCATTAATTCCTTGAGAACGGATGAAACCTCGGGATAAAAGCCCTGCACTGCTTCACTGGGCGGTGTCTAATCCTGCACTGCAAATGCCAACGTTGTCATTTCTATACCTTGAAGTAGAGGCAGAGAAAAGAATTGCTCTTTCCTTTGGGGCTGTTTATCATCTCTATCATTTCCCATCTACACATAATATATTTAAGTATACTCTGTTGCTTTTTATTTTTAATATAGTTTTTGGTTTTTTTTTTTTTTTAATCAGAAACTCATTCTTCTCACCTGCCTATCAATCTATCAATGAGTTGAGGTACAATTTCATTCAAGTTGTATTTTCTTTTTACTATGAAAACCAAGAGCTTTAGCATCATTCTGTTTTGATCGTGTGTAATTATTCTCTTCCAGTGTTAGATAAGTTGGTATTTCCTCTACCTTGCATAATAGTGTGTTCATAGTAGTTAAATGAATTTTCTGGAACATGTCTCATATTTTCACCTGCATGCTCCCTTTGTCCAGAAGTGACATCCCATCTCTTTGCATGGTTCTCTGACCACTTGTATGGAAGCAGGGAGAGGGAATGTAGAAAAAATGCAACACAGGCATTTATTTTTTTCTTCTTTTCTTCTCCATCTATAGTCCTAAGAGCTTGATTGGTAGTCTGGTCTTTAGAATGATCATGGGGGATTTTTTTTTTGTTGTTGTTGTTGTTGTTCTTTGAGCTCTGCAGGGTTGAATTTGATTCGAAGCTTACCATATATACAAACTAGTAACTTTTTTGTATGTTCCAGAATTTCTCTAGTATTAACCAGGAATTTAATAATTGCCAGTTTGACCTTAAACAGGTTGTTATTCTCCTTAGGCCTAAGTTTTGTCTTTTTAACATGGACATGATAATACTGTGTTATGAGAATTAAATGTGGTGAATATAAAGGAAAAACAGAGTGTCTTTGCAGATTTGGTACTTTTTTTTCCATTGTGTTTGCTACATGGATCTTCCACATTCTTGCTAGTGCCATAAAGTGTATAACTGGATGTCTGTTCCAGTAATTTTTAAGTCATCTTGAATTCTATTCTTCAGAAATTAGATCCTAAAACCCTTTTCTCAGTTTATAAAGTACTTGGTGATCTAGTTGTTTGTGTTTAATGTCACTGTGTTTGTTCAATTTTGGATTAGAATTTTTGCTGTAATTCATGCTAAGTACTTAACAGACTTCAGAATTAATATTTAGTACTTAGCTTCTTGAAATAGTTCCATCTGCTTGTCCAACAATACTATACAAAAGAATTTCTTTTTTTTCATAATGCAATAGTTTATTTTTACATCATTTTGTGCATTTTTCCATCTCAGTTGTAATCCCCATGGGCTTCACATCGCCAAATCACCGGTGTGCCATCACCATACCATTTTTTATCCCATTTCCCATTCCACCCCCGTAAAATGTCTGGGGTATATAGTTGTTCATTATTATTATTTTCTCCCCTGGTCCTTTATACTCCTGCTATGAGTGAAACCATCCGGTATTTTTCCTTTTCTTTTTGGCTTATTAGAACTTATCTTTTAAGCTGATCAGTACCTCCTCCATATAGGACACTGGTTCAGAGCCTGGCTCTGCCACTTTAGTGTTTAATACAAGTCAGCTAATGTGTCTCTGTGCCTCTGTTTCCTTGTTTTTAAACATAACTAAAGAACCTCTTTCATAACATTAGCAAGATTGACTAAAATTTGATTTTGCAAAGAGTTATCACTAATCACACTCAATATCTAATAACTAGTATGTGTTTTCTGTGGTTGTAAATTCACAGATTGGTAGGGATATTCTTATGTAAGGCTTCCCTGTGTCTGTTGGTCTTTTTTTTTAATACTTGTTTTTTTTGCATATAAGAACTGGGATGTAGGCCAGAGGTGGGGGAGGCAGAGTGGTGAGAGGATTCACCAGAGTGGCGAGCAGAACAGGCAGATTGACCTAAACACACTGCTGAGAGGAGCAGTGATGAAACACACTGCCTTGGGGTTAGCTCCCTCTCCTTCGCCGGGTCAAACGGATGTTGCAGTGGTGGCTGTGGATTGCTTCACAGGGAGACTTACCCCTTACACTACCAGGGAGGCCCCTCCCCTGTGTCTTTTGTTGAAAACTTTATCTTGTGTGTTCAGTTCAGACTTCTCCACGTTCTCTAGACTTTTCCAAACTCACTATTTCTGGTGATGGAAATGACTATTTTTTAGTTTTCTTCTTCAGGTTTTCCTAAAACAGTTCTTTTAGGAAATCCTCATAAGGATTTACATGGCTAGCCTTTTTACAGTAATGTTTTAAATTTTTTAACTGCCAGAGAGTATAGTGTGATAAAATGACTTGTCCAGAGTCACACAGTCAACAGAACCTGGGTTAGAATATAGAGCTAATCAGAACCAGTTTAACTTTCTTACTTTCCACCATAGTCTCTCAAACATCTGCTCTTTATTTTCACAATGTGCTTTCTCTCTTAACGATTCAGAAGTATCAGCTTTCTGAAAGAAAAGATTATGAGTGCCATGCTGTTCTCTTAAAAATGTATTTGTGAAACTATGCCAACATGTTAGAAATTCTCTTTTAAGGCCTACTTTGTGTTAGTTTTAGATACTTGAATAAATAGAGCATAAATGAAACAAATAGGATAATTAATTGTGGGAGACTAGTGATAGTCTTGAAAATTAAAGTATTTAATTTCCAAATTTAAAAAAAAAAATACTCTCTGCTAGGGCAGATTGGTTATCATTGTTCATGGTATTTTGAAATTTGTCAGCTATATTTCAGAACCATTTTTTGTTTACCCACTAGCATCCTCAAAAAAAGAGAAATCCTACTTGGATTTTGATGAGGATGGCATTGTACTTAAAGATAACTAGAGATTTTGTCTACACATAATTTTAATTACCAAAGGAACACTAGGGAATTTTTAACATCAGATATCTCTAAATTATTGGAACTAGTTTATATATGATGAAAGTGAGGAACAAAAGAGTAGTGACAACACACTTAGCAACTCTGTAGCAGAAGTGGGATTTGAACTTATAGTTGTTGATTTCTAGACCTATTCTTAGTGCCAGAGGTCACAGTGTTCTAATGGGTCTCAGCCATAGCTTTTTCTCTTTTGCTCATGTCTGAAATGTGTTCTGGGAATCGGTGTCCTGTTAAATTCCTCTTTGATGCATGTCCCATTTATTAGTATTGATTTCAATACAATGGACAGTAAATCTATTTGACTACACAAAGGAAATAAAATAGTAGGATGTAGATTCAAACCCTAACATCTCTGATCATAATACTTTAGTCATATACCCTCATGATATAAACTGTTAGTTTATAATTTTTAAAAGTCTAAAGCAGAAAAATAAGTATTTGGTCTCCTTCAGTTTAATTACTAGAACCCTTAGTATAGTGTAACAGGAATATGTCATACTAAAGAGTAAGTTGACTTTTGTG